AACTAAGTTGAAAATCTACAATTATCCATGAATATTTCTCAATACAGTATGGGCATTACTTTCTCCAGAATTATATGAATGCTATACATTTTTGGTTCATATTTACTCTATAGATAAAATCCTGAAAGTACTCTATTAATTTAAAATTTTTACCAGTTTTGTTGAGATATAATTGACATATAACATTGTGTAAGTTTAAGATGTACAACATGATTTATACATATACACACATATATATATAGCAAAATGATTATAAAGTACTCTTTAAATGTCTCTGCACAGTTATTAATTTAAAGCAGCTCATGAATTACACATTTAATCCTAAAAATATAAAGGTTTTTTCGCCTTTTTAGTGACAAAGCAATTTTGTGAAAATCAAAACTAAAGCAAATAATTATATCTAAAGTTACAAGAACAATTTTCAATGTGTTTAACTAGAAAAAAACAAGAAAGAAACCATCTGGGCATAAAACTGATAATTGCTAGGATTAATATTATTTCTAAATTCAACTTCCTTAAAAATAAATCACTTTATAATTTAATTAGGTTTCCATCTAGAGAAAAAGTGCTAATAAAAGCTCAGATAAGAGAAAGTGAGCTTGGACAATTGCTTTAAAAAGAATCCACATAATCGTAGGGCTTAATTTTTTATCTACAATTCAGCTCAAAGTCATTAGAATGACTTTTATATCAAAGAGCTTCAGTGAGTGACAAGAGCAAGACTTGCTTTGTACTGTTTAAAAGTCATTATTCCATGAAATAACTTTAGCCTGCCAAGATGAGAAAGAATAACAGATGCTGTTTTTGCATTATCTGCATTATTTCAGCCAGCCATCCTTAGACATTTGGGTCAAATTTCTGGAAATTTGTTACTTGCATTTGACAGGGGAATCATGTATCCTCACCTCTCGGTATGACCTTTCTAATTGGCATCCATTTGCAATAGTTTGAGTTCTGTGGCAATTATCCTTAAGCTGGCCCAAGTTTAGTCTATTTTTTGCATGTACAAGAGCACAAATCAGAACAATTTAAAAGTTAAGGTGCTCACCCAAAACAAACCAATAAGAGAAAGTTTCTTTACATGCACTGCACTTTATTATGATGCTTAGATTCTGAAAGTGTTTCAATTTTTTACAACCTTAAAGTAGACTGGGGAAAAGCTATTGTGTTCAGATGTGTTTGATCATTGTCTTCTATTCTGCATGTGGATTTTTAAAAATCAAATATTATTTTTTTGATTAAATGGCATGTCCATGAGAGACTATGGACTCTGGGAAATAAACTGAGAGTTTCAGATGGGAGGGGGGTGGGGGGATTGGTTAGCCTGGTGATGGGTATTAAGGAGGGCACGTACTGCATGGAGCACTGGGTGTTATATGAAAACAATGAATTGTGGATCACCACATCAAAAACAAATGATGTATTGTATGGTGACTAACGTAACATAATAAAATAAAATAAAATAAAAAGATCATTGGCTTAAAAATAGATTTCACATGATCAAAATGTAGATGTAACAATGAAATAAATCTTAGAGGAGGTATAGAATTCCTTTGACAAATTATTTTTGTTTGCTTCCCATTGCAGCCATGCCAGCAATACTGGTTTTATTTTAAAAATTAACTGTACAAGCAATTTTCTGCAACTGTAAAAATGGTGCCAGGATTCAAGGTTTCGGCTTGTGCAATATTTTCATTTTGTTATTGAAAATGTGGGAAGTCCTAGCTTAGTTCCTCTGTCCTTTGGAAGGGTAAAAAATGTTAATGGAAGAAAATTATTTAGTTCTCTATTTCAAGATCAATTTTATAGAAAATTTTCCTACCAGATTTACGGTGTTTTATTTTCAGTGATAAGAAAGAAAGGCATCTAAAACAATATAATTATTATATTCAGAAATAACTTTTGGCGTTATCCTTTATTGTCATCACATGATTTTGAACTGCTGGGCCACTATAACTCAGCAAAAGAATGAAGATAATTTATATACACCCACACTCTCAAATTAGTTTCTTTAGAAGGAAGTGACGGTATCATTTGTGAAATAAAAGCCACAGTGTTATTACATCTTATTGGAAACCTCTATTTACCTCTATGGATGTTCCAAATAAAGAATTTCTTAAATTAAATTAAACATAATATAACTAATAAAACTGAATTGTCAGTCGGAAGGTATTTGCCATCTCTCTTCTAGGCAAAGTAGGCTCCTAAATTTTAACACCAAATGCATTGACGTTTTTAGATAAATATAATCATGATTAAACAACGTCATTCGATGTGAGATGGGCCAAGTTACTTAAAAATTATAAAAAACAACATGAGCAAGGACCCACCCCATCAAAAGTTCTAGGTATTAGTAAGGAGTTCTATTTATACATGTTTTCTGTACATGAGTTCATTCAATTACTTAATTTAGGTAACTTTAAGCTTCAGTGAACATTAATTAAATGTAATTGTGGGGCGCCTGGGTGGCTCAGTGGGTTAAGCATCTGCCTTCGGCTCAGGTCATGATCCTGGAGTCCCGGGATCGAGTCCCGCATCGGGCTCCCTGCTCAGCGAGGAGCCTGCTTCTCCCTCTGACCCTCCCCCCTCTCATGTACTCTCTGTCTCTCTCGTTCTCTCTGTCTCAGATAAATAAATAAAATCTTTAAAAAAAAAAATGTAATTGTGTATGGCCAGTAAACTGAAGATAAGTGTAATTTACATTTTTTTTTAAATTTTAGCTTGCTTTTAAATTTTGAAATTAATGAGTCCTGACTTGCATAATATATATTTAGTAACTATCCTACTTTAACTTTCATATACTAATCAAATCAAACTAGGAGTACAAGATAAGCTATTACTTTATGGTTTAACAAACTACCAGCAGCATTAACCTAATATAATATATGCATTAATTTAGTTTGTTGTTAATCATCATTACTATCATCTTTTCCTTGCCCATTTAGCAACACATGTCTACTGTTCTGTTTTACAATTTTAATTTTTCATGTGTACTAAGAACTTGATACACAGTGCACAATTCTTAACAATATATTAGAGTAAACGAGAGGGTTATTTTCAGCTGTTTACTGTGCATATAAGGTGATATGCCAGCTGGATAAGAGTCAGACATATTTTGTCTCCAAAATCTTGTTTCATTTAACCCAAGAGAATTATAATGTATAAATTAAAGAAATTTGTGTAGTATTTCATTTTATATTTTTTAAAATCATGCATTAAATGCAAACAATATTTAGTCAGATTATTGGCTTTATAATAAAACATAATACTAGAGTATAGGCATGATGTTTTTGTCGATGGGTGATTTCATATATATTATATGTGTACAATTTGTTTCCATTTAAAGAAAGCAAACTGCTTAAGTAGTAGTAAGTTCAATTGTGATAAATTTCTACTTTGCATTTGTGCACCAAAATAAACCATACTTTTAAAAAGTTTGTCAATATCCTTTAAAAGAAAAGAAGCATGCTTAAATGTAAAACACAAGCTTTCTGTGAACTCTTTTGCTCTTCCTGTGAAAGACATACTGGTAAGCTTTAGCTGTACCTTTTTTATTGGCACATTTCTGAATATAAACACTTACATTTTATAGAACTCCATAGAAATGATTGCCCAAGAAAACAAAAATTATGTAAATTCTCTTAAGTTTTCTGTGGTTCATGCCCAACATTCAGTATTTGGGTTGAGAATTAAGTGCCCTTTTCAATGATCGAGTTCCCAAATTAAATTTACTATACAGCATGGCCAGCTTTCTAAAAATCTACATCAGAAAGTATCTATTCTAAAGGGCTATCTATTCACCGGAATGGTTACCTTCAGGATAGCAAACTCAAAGGGCGTTAGGCTGAGTAATAAGAATATTTTTGACAACGGGACTGGACGTGCATAACTGTTACACGATTCATCTCCTTCGGGTCTACATGTTTTTCTGCTAAGTGGGCTGCTCCCTGTGGATCTATACAGTGGGGACAGCAGAGGATCATACAAGAGGTATTTTAAAATGTTCTGGTTTCATAGTGTGTGCTTGTTGGACAGAATAAAATGTATTCTTCCAGCTATTCAAGCATGAGGGCAGGAGGGGTAGATAAAAGGAGAAATGAAGGCAAGGCAGAGTTAGATCCCAATAAATGCTGCAAACAGTGTACTTGTGCCTTGAATCCTTTTCCTTATCTCCAATTTATAATTCCGTCAAAAAATCCTTATACTCTCCCCTTAGTCCCAAACCATTATAGCCCAGCCACCAAAGGGGTAGGATTCCACATACTGTCATGAATTTACATACATGCACACACGTGCACACACACACACACACAGATCTAAGCTGAGCCTTTGGTGCCATTGAAGAGAATTTAAGCATTTTAAGATGAAGAACTAAACTTAACGTTATCTGAGGTATGGTAAAAAAAATAATAAAAATTAAAAAGTGCAATGAATAAGAGAAATGAAAAAAATCCACATGTTACAAATGGGCTATAAACACATTTATATTCATAAACTGCATTCAAATGGTTATGTCATATTAATTAAAATAATAAAAGTAAGAAAATTTGCTCAATGCAGAGGTACTTTTAAAAAACAAAAAAACAAACAAAAACAAAAGTTAATAAAATATTTTATCTGCATCAAAATATTCTTTGGAAACCAAAAATAAAAATGTATCATGTATGTTCTTTCAGGTTGAGCTGTAAAAATCAGAAAAATACATAGTCCGCACTGTTTAACTTTCTGAAAATACCGAGTATGCACTAAGCATAAAGCAAAAGGCTTTCCTCGTCTTCCGGACCTGAAGCAGTGTGCCCCCCATACTGGACAAAGAATTCCGATTCAGTTCCTATCAGAAGACATCTTTGTTTCAGTCACACTGAAACCCAGGACCTGACTTCGAGACAGTGTAGTGGAGCTGGAGCTGGATCCAAACGTTATTCTTTTTCAGAGCCGTAAAGACACCCCTGGAAACTCCTGAGGGCAAGGCCTGGTTTCTCACAAGGCCAAGATGAAGATTATCCAAAGCGAAACTTGAGTCTGTATTTCACGGTGTTGGGACTCTTCCGAGGGGCAGACACTGGCACCTTTGGCTTCCCAGGACTGGGTGGCTTTTTCTTCTCAGGAACGGTAACCGTGAAAGAAAGTTCTGGCTGCTCTAGCTGCTTGAATCTTGGCAGAAAGTGGGTGGAGATGTGCTGGGGTTTGACCCGGGGGCTGCAGCCCCGCTTAGCTTTCCCTCTCTTGTTGAGGGCCACATACCACTCCCGGCCCGCTGGCTCAGTTCTGTGTATTGCTGAGGCATAAGTATTATAGCTGTTTTCCTGAAATCGCTCCCTGAACTTGCAATCATCTGTAAATTTGGCCTGGGGGGAGAAAAGAAGAAGAAACATAAGTGGTAATAATACTTTCAGCATGCAATAAAATGAGGTCTTTGCAATGCTGATTTCGGTTTACTAGGTACTTAGTGAAATAATATCAATGTATATAAAAAGGATAACAAGGAACTCTTAATATATTGAAATTCTGTTGTGGTTTTTAAATTTGAGATTGGCAGTGAAAAAAATTAACTTTTAATATTTTAAGATTTTTTTCCCCCTCTTAAGCCATCAAGAAAATAAATGGAACTGAATTACTAAGGAACACTTGCCTGGTAAAACATGAATTCATATTCAGAGAAATGGGGTCATATTATTCCTCTGAAACAAGGATACATTTTTCAATGTTATCAGTGTGATTCATGGTGCTGAGAGAGGGGTAGCATATGGCCCTATTAATATTGCATGTGTTAGAGTTCTTTAGGAAAAAATATATCTTCACACAGAGATACAGGAGAGAATATTCGATGCCAAGAAGAAAAAATTACTTTTGGAGTCACCAGCAATACTTCATCCAGATCTCTCCCTGTCTCTCTCTCCCTCTGTAGACACAGACACACACAGACACACACACACACACACACACACACACACACACAACCACACTCAGACACACACAGTGTCTGCCCTTGAAATGCTCCCAGAATAGTGGGAAAAGCAGACAAGTAAACACCCATCACGGTGCAGCTGGATACGGGGCTTATGACAGCGCTATGCAGAGCGTACAACGATAGCATAGAGGAAAGGAATCTAAGAGGATGGGGGTGGCCGGGCAGAGGGCAGGAAGTCTTCCTACAAAAGATGACATTTGAGCTGAGTCTTCAAGATTTTAGTAAGGCAGGTGACACGAGAAAGGGTTCTCAGAGGGGGAACAGTGTGTCCACAGGTCGGCATGACATACTACAGGTAGTAACTTTCCTACAGGATGTGTGGTGGAAGAAGAGGTAAGGCTGCCAAAGTTGGCCAGGAAGAGCTCTGAAGATGCTTCTTTTGCCATGCTTGTGATGCTGATGATTTTCTGTTTACTGTGTCTTAGTGAAATAATACCAATGCATATAAAAATAACAGGAACTCTTAATATATTTAAATTCTGTTACTGGTTTTAAATTACTTTGAAATTTCCAGGTAAACAATTAACTTTTAACAGAAGATTATGTTGAGGAATTGGGGGCACCTGGGTGGCTCAGTCCTTAACCATCTGCCTTCGGCTCGGGTCATGATCCCACCATCCTGGGATCGAGCCCCACATCGGGCTCCCTGCTCAGCGGGAAGCCTGTTTCTCCCTCTCCCTCTGCCCCCTGCTTGTGCTCTCTCTCTCTGACAAATAAATAAATAAAATCTGAAAAAAAAAAAGAGATTATATTGAGGAATTTAAGGAAAGTGTATGGGGGAAAAGCATGAGCATAAAGTCAGACCTGAGATCAAATACCAATCCTGCCAATCGAGGTCTTAGCTTTAGGCTCCTTATCCACAATCATTCATAGGGCTATTGTGAGTACCAAAATATTTTTCTAGGGAAAAGATGGGTAGCTTTCATCAAATGCAAAAGAGGCCAAGGGTCCCAAAGAGTAATAATTCCTGTCCTAGACCAGACCACCACGTGTCATAGTATCAGTGAGCACCATTATCTGGAATTCCTGGGTTTGCGAATACCAGATATGTTGATGTCTATAGAGAAAAACACTACTTATGAGATACCATTTTCATATCAGACCAAGAGGTACTATAATGGAAATAAGAGTTCTTTTTTTTTCTTGCTTTTTCTAATAGTGCCAAGCTTTTCTCTGCACAACATTGTCATCTGAAAGTCAGAACACCACAGGACAATCTACATAGATCTACTGTTGATGGTCACATGAATTTTTTGACTTGTGCAAAGTACTGACAATATTGGAAGGCAACCAATTTCAGAGCGCTTCCAACAGCACATTGATGTTATGTATGACAGTTTACCCAGGTTATTTACATTCAAGCATAGTTCAATCAATAAGGCTCTTTATTTGAAGGCTAGCAAGTTATATATCTAGAACTTCCACAAGTCTACTGGCGATTCCCCGGATTTGATCTCTAGCACCTGGAAGCGGGTGTTTTAAAGAACCACCACCTATGGCATTCCTCTCATCCTGTCATACCCTACCAGCCTATGTCTAGGCCAAGGGCGCAATGCTGAAGTCACTATAGAAGAGTACATATTTACTGTTCCTATTTTTGTTTTTAAGATTTTATTTATTTATTTGACAGAGAGAGACACAGCGAGAGAGGGAACACAAGCAGGGGGAGTGGGAGAGGGAGAAGCAGGC